AAAAAAAAAAAAAAAGTTAGGGCGCCAGGGCTCGTAGCGCCACTGAGGCGCTAGGGCCCACAGCGCCTGTTGTGAAAATAAGTTTGAAGACATATTTATGATACTTGTTGAGAGTTATCTGCAAAAGCAAAATGGTGCACACAAAACTCATAATATTTATGTCGCCCTCTCGCGCGCATATAATTAATTAGTTTTTATTTTCTTTTTAACATTTTATACTAATAAGAGACTTTGTAAACAGAAAAAAAAAAACTAATAAGAAAGCAACAGTATCTAACACAGATCGTGTAAACCAAGTTATAAAATACATATTTTATTTATTTTAAAATTACGTTTTTTTTAAACTTAATTTTCTTTTTATAATTATATAATAAATATTTACGTTATTATACTTATTTTACATTATTATTATTTTAAAAAAATAATATATATAGCTAAATGTAAAAAATAATTTATAAAAACCAAAAAGAAAAATAATTTAATTGGGGCGTTGTGGCCCATAGCTACACTCAGGCGCTATGGGCCACAGCGCCTGTGTTAAAAAAATAAAAAAAATTACATTTTATTTATTTTAAAATTACGTTTTTTTAAACCATAATTTTCTTTTTATAATTATATATTAAATAGTTCTTTTTATTATACTTATTTTACATTATTATTATTATATTAATATTTTTTTAACCCAGTGTCGCTATGGGCTACGTAAGTTTTTTAAGCCCATCAGTTATGGTGGACTAGCCTATAGCGACACAGGTCCAGCCCACCCAAGCCAACAAAAACAAAAAGCCACGTGTCATGGGTGTCGCTATGACCCATAGCGACACCCAATAAAAGAGCCCCAAAAGTGTAAAATGTTTTAAAACAGTCCCATTTTGATAATAAGTTTATAAAACTGCCCCACAATGGTCGTTTAGCCTGCCATAAATAGTGTAAGGGGAAGAGGGAAGTTTAAATGTCGTCCAAATTAACTCACTCACATCCATTGAATAAGCAGTCCCAAGTACAAAACTGATGAAAAGAGCCCAAAACAATGGCCATGAACCTACAATCCATGCAAGCCAAAAACTCTGTAAAGAAAAATAAAATGATAAGCATTCCTGTTATACCTTGTCAGTGAAGCTTTTCTTAAACAATATATTACTAGAAAATATACCCCAAAAAGTGAAATTGCTACCATCATACATTATCATTAATTAATATTCACCACTCAAATCATGTTGCATTAGTTCAATCACTAGGATATCGGAGGCATGTGCAACCAATGCTGTAACTTAAAATTGCACTCTAAGATTTTTATTGAATGAATAAGGAATTATTTTGTTTTGATAAAATGTTTCTAGGACAAGATTCAGAGTAAAGATAGTAGGTACTAGGTAGTAGAGTTTGATAACCATTACATTAGACAACTCTAAAAGATTATGTAACAGAATTTTTCTGAAAATGAGATCGACTCTTCAGAGAAAACAAATCAATTGTTAAACAAAGGCAAGGCCATGGACCAGACGATATATGCAAAGAAAAATATTAAAATAAAGTTGATTTGATTTTAGGACATAGTTTGTAACAATATCTAGCAGGGGAAACTCTAGAAGTTACACCAAAGTATAAACATAAAAGTCACCAAATTGTGTTGTATATATGACAGAAAAAACAAGTAAATAAGTAGCCATTTTTACAACTCTCATACTCTTTTATATATTAAGAAGAGAACAAACAAACAAAAAAGGAAATAAGTAGTCATTTTTACATGTCTAATTGTATACTAAATTTCTTGATCATTAATAGAGGAATTATTTGGTTCCTTAAAACCAATAGAAATTAAAAGAACTTGTATTAATAACAAGAAAAATCAAGTAGGAGAGATAATATGCGTCAAAGTTTCCAAAAAGATATAATACCAAAAATGAAAATGATGCAACAATAATAACACCAGTGCTGAAAGAATACTCCCCTGAAGCCAGTGGAAGATACGGCTTATTTATCTGCAATTCAACATAAATCACACATTAATATATTATTTCGTCTCAAAGGGAGTACTCAATATGAAGTAGCTTGTTTTCTTGACCATACTACAACACAAAATTTTGGGATGCTTGATAAACTATATATTTAATGTAAAATTATTGTACGATCTTATGTCATTTTCAATTTTAATTGTCTCACAAAACTAAAAATGAGTTGAAAATTGTGAATTTCCGATGTCCAAAGTGACGAGTTTATATAAATATCTAAGTATAGAAACTCATGTAAGATGCTAAGTTAGACTTGGCTGATATATGGTGGCTTGTGTTAAAGTTATTGAAGTGAATGTGGGCTCAGTACACGTGGGTGCAGCTACTAGACTGATAGGGGTTAGTGTGGCTTCTTTAGCTTCGTGAGACCCTTCTCCTATTTGGAGAAAATGTCGCATGTGAAAAATACAAAATTCAGTATTAATTGAGTATGAGAAATTATTTTATAGTATTAGATCAAATAATTTTTAATTAGTCTATGTATTATATGTAATAAGTATTATTATTTTTTTATAAATTAAAAAAATTGAAATATGTATATTACATAATGATTAACTGAAATTATGAATACTTGATAATCATAAACTATCTACCCAATATTTTGTTAATGAAAAAAGGGCATAAATTTGGGAGCAAAACGTCTCATTTGGTTTGGATTGAATTCCTCATTATATGCTTAGTTCCTTAGATAGGGGTTAATAAATGTAAGATAAGAGAGGATAATGCAGCAGAGATTTTCTGCTGTAGATTTTTTTTCGTTTATTTTTTAATTTTTTTAATTTTTTTAATTTTTTTTAATTTTTTTAATTCATAATATATTTATATGTATTTAAATATGATTAATTACATTAAAATTTATATATATTTATTTATATATA